ATCAAGTAAAACTCTTTTAATTAATTATACAAGATGAAGTTCTAGATCATATTAATGTTAAGGTTTCATTTATATATAGAGAAGTTTCTTCAGCCCTTTTATAGGTGGTGTTATATGTGGTCTCACATATATCATAATTTCTTTATACTAACAGTGATCAAAATTAAGTAATTTTTATTCTACTTAATTTTAATTGATTGCTCGCTGTAGTTTTTGAATTTCTCTGTAGTCCTCTAGATATAGTCTAGCTGTTTGGCATGTGTAGGGGTGTCCCACTTTCTTCTGACAGTGCATATTCATGTGTTTAGCAAGTCAAACGAGGATCATAGATTCTTAATCCTTTGTTTAAATATAAATTATAGTGTTGCGACTATGGGATATTTAGGTCTCTTAATATCTGGTAAAATTAAAGTTTGACTTTTCTTGCTGAAGCTGTTGTCACTGAAAGAATTCGGGAAGCTCATCAAAATATATCTGCCCCAACAATGATGTTATTTCCAGGTTATCAGCTTCTTAATTTTATGTTTTCTTTATTGGGAAGGAGGGTGGAGGGGTAAAAATGATCCTGTTGATTGAGCTTTTGTTATAAATGTCACTTTTGCTTGAATTTATTTTTATTGTGCGTCTTGTATAATATTTTTTATTGAATGTTTTTATTTTCAATGTGGCATCCATGTTCTAACCCTGTAAATGTAGGGGGAAGTTTATGTTAATTTACTTTTCACTTCAAGTTCCTCTTGAAAGTGATTGGCCATGTTTTTCAACATTTTACTTCTTTCTTTGTTCAATCTAAAGATCAGTTATTTTTATTTTTTAGCTACTTCATCTCTCTTTTTTCTTTTAAAATATTGCCCTGTATAGTCTATAACTTAAATTCCTTAGCTTTATACTTTTAGTAACTTTTCTGTTTTGCTGGTGTCGATAAGTCAATATTACACTCACTGTATAATTTCATGTATATCATAAGTTTGTATTTGTCAATAATTATCACAATTGTTCAAAATAATCTTAATTGTTCATACATATCTATATATGACCTTTTAATCATTTAATTAAATATATTGTATATTCTACAGAAGGTACAACAACAAATGGGGAGTTTCTCCTTCCGTTCAAAACTGGCGGCTTTTTAGCAAAAGCACCAATACTTCCTGTAATTTTATGTTATCATTACCAGAGATTTAGCCCTGCGTGGGAATCCATATCTGGCGTAAGCATTTGAATAGTATCAGACTTTCCTGATTTTACTAAATTATTTGTTTAAGTTTTTTTCTACTTGTGTAAAATATAATTAATTCAGGACCAATAGAGATCGGCTCCTGTGCTTTAAACTTCAAAGTGTGGTGCTAACAGTCTAGGAGAAACATATTGTTCTTGCTGCAATAAATTTTTCTTTTAAATGAAAGTTGTCTTCACATTCCTAATACTGTGCTAATAATGAATTTCATTGAATCTGGATGATTATTTATTTTTGAATGATTACCCTATCTCTAATCTATATTCTTGCTTAAAATTTTAATGTACATATTTGTTATTGGCAGGTGCGTCATGTGATTTTTATTATGTGTCAGTTTGTAAATTATATGGAGGTGATACAGTTACCTACTTATTATCCCTCGCAGCACGAGCAGGATGATCCCAAACTATATGCTAATAATGTTAGAAGGTTGATGGCAAGTGAGGTATGTAACTCTCTTTAATAACTAAAATATGTTATATGAAAAACTACATCCTAACAGGATTATACAGTAAGTAGTAACGCAGGACTTGTGTGTTCTATTCTATAGATGAATCAGTGTTCATGTATAAACTGAAAATCCGTGTGTTTGAGGGAGAGATATAAAATTTGGATTTCTTTTAGGAAGTAAAAATATTAACTCCTTACAGCAGAGTAAGAACTTTGTAATTCCCTAAAACAGAAATGAAATGAAAAGATGGGACGGTAGACACTTGCATGTCTTTGACGGGTCTTATGTCCTGCCTACCCAAAGGACCCAATTCCTTTCTCATTGACAGCAGCCTGATTCTCCCCCCACCCTCTCTCTACTCAAAATCATTTTCCGTAACAAAATACACTCCTTCCTGACTCCTCTTTCCACTGCTGTGTAAACAAAGCCCACCAATTATATTGCCCTCTACCTCTCATCTCTAGCTTATACGACTCTTTCACCCTTAACATGGAGTTGAGTAGACGGTTGTCTATTAGTGTGTGCATATTTAAATCTTTAAAAACTGACGACAATTATATTTCATGCTAATACCACTCAATAATTCTTTATAAAATGATTTTGGTTAACTCATCGAACTTATAAATTTTTCTATCATGTTGATCTTGCGTTCCAAATTTTAGAAAGCCATAGTTTGTACATGATTGAGTGATCCGTGTTTTTTTCTTGTTTGATAATTGTGTATGGGTGTGTGACCTCTTTATACAGTCTGTTGGGAGTGAATTAAATTATTGGAAATGAGTGAATAAAAAGTAGTGCGTGCAAACTGGGCTTGATAGTAGACCAAAGAAGAACACACTGCAAAATGAATGTCATTTTCATTTTTATTAAATTATATTTTGAATAATTGGAGTGGAATAATGTTTAAAGTAGAATAATTTCTTTTGTTTTTTAGTACATCCTGTACAAGATTGAATGAAATTAGACTAGTAGTTATTTTGGTACAGATTAAATAATAGCAGTTAGTTCATAACTATTTTTGTTCCTGTTAACTTTCACTTTACCAGTTTGTTAAAATCAAAATCTCCATTCCTCTTTACATTCATTATTTCCAAATCCTTTCCTGAAATTTTACTTGACCCAATGTTATGCGTTCACTATGTAGTGGTTACTTATAGATAAAAGGGGAGTAGGCTGTATTCTATACTGTTCAAGCGGCAGCTGGTAGTGTATGTGAGCGTGATATTGTCTCTATGTTTTGCTTGCAGGGAAATTTGATACTTTCAGATATTGGGCTAGCTGAAAAACGAATATATCATGCAGCGCTCAATGGTAAATAGTAGCCTGCATAGTGTTTTGCATCAACAATTGATAATTTCATGGCCGCATCTCAAATGTTATTTAGTTCGGGTTCAGTTTTAGGTTAGTAGTCTCATTGACACTTACCCTATATTTGCTAGTGGGAAAAAAAATGAGTGGGTGAAAAGAAAAGTTTTAAATTTAATTGATGAAAAAATAAGATAAAATTTGAATTTTTTTTTCTACAATTTTTTTTTTTCATAATTTCTAACCAGACAAGAAAATTCATCTTATTTGTGTTTTCTTCATCCAAACAAAAACATTTCTTTAGTATCTGCTCATGAATGGGCAGCTTACATGTGGGTATTAATATTTATAATGCTAATATGTTCTTGTATAACTTGATTGTAAATAATGAGTGGTGCAACGAATTTTAATTAATTGCTAGTGGACTACTGCTGCCGAATTATAGCTTGTCGTCAAGATATGATTGTGATTATAGCGTTTGCTTTGGTAACGGGTAGATTGTTACAACTTTTACGAGTCCGAAGTTTTTAATAATTTTAAACTTTTCTTTCAACATATCAGAAAGAGTTTTAGTGTTAATGAGGCAATCAATTTCCTATTCCCTGTGACATACAGTGGGTATATAAAGAGTAGAACAGATTACAATAAAGGAGAAAGCTACACCCTAATGCATAGAATCAGAGCTATCCTAATTCTGTTATCACATAGTGCAAATGGGGGAAAGTATGTTGTTCCAGCTTGGCAGTCCAAGTTATTTTGCTTGAGAATCATCCATCCTCTGTTAGATCATTTTTATTGAAGCCCGTAGGATTAAAGCATCTTAACATGAACCTTGTAACTTTTTGATAAATCCTTGACTTGTCAATTTATTTTTTAATATAGACGATAGAAAAGAGGCTCAAGGTTTCAATTTGAAGTTAGACACTTTTAGAGAAAATTACTAGATTTTATTAAGATGTACTAACACGTGAGGAATACACTTTTAGAAAGGCGATGTAACTTGGATCTCAATAATTTGTTTATGTTCCTGCAGGTTTGTTTTCCCAATGCTAACCTGGCTTCGTAGTCAGTTTGTTCGCTGGTATGGTTGTATTGTGCTAAGAAAGAAAAAGATAGTGTAGGAAATCGGGTACCGAGCTAGATTCATGTGTGAATGGTTGATCAGTTTGTCTAGGTTCTGGGAGTTGCTCTCCGACATCAGGTGATTCACAATATTATCGTCGCTGATTCTGGTTAGGGAGGTTTAGGTTACAAGTTTGTAACCTAGTAATGATTTCAATCTTAACAAGTGCTGAAGCTTATGGTAGGTCAGGGGTGCAGTGAAGATCGTAGATATGTAAAATATTTAAATTAATTTTGATAAATTTTAGAATTTAAACTAGCTTTTATGTTGAATTACCCTTGTTCAAATGTTCCCATGTATTCTACAAATATATCGGGCAATCGTTTAGAAAGTGTATAACGCGTTCTGTATTCTTAGATTTGTAAAATTATGACAAAATAGTGTGTAAAAATGTAACTTTTTTACTGTAATTCAATCACAAACACTGTATATTAGTAAGTTCGTTCATTTACAGAAAATATCTTAAAACTGACGATCATTTCTTATTGATTGAGGGTTTAAGTAATTAAACTATTGAACACAAATTATATATACTTCGTGTGTTTTTCAAATGACCATCGGCAGTCAAATGGCTTGAACTTGGTGGTGCACTTTACATGCATGCTAATGTATAAATCAAAATTTTAAAACAAATAATGCACTGCATCATTGTGTGGTGATGCTCTCATTTATAAGTTTCTTCTACAGAACTCTTGGTTTCAAATTGACAGAATGAACATATGAATGGCAGATGTTGTTGCACCACAATTAATAAAAAAACAGAAGAGGTTTAACGGCAAAAGACAATAAAAGAAATGAAGTCATGACGAAACAGAAAATGCTACTTACAAAAGATGCATAAAAAAGATTCGTAGAATCATTGATATTTTAGTTTCTCAGTCGAGTTATCTTTCTTTCAAGGAACGGTTAATGGATTTTCTCAATTCCCACGAGGGCCATGACGATGACAAGCAACCTCTTAAGGGAGACTGCAGAAACAGTGAAGAAGTGGAGAGGTGCTTTTGCCGCATTGAAATTGAGGACAAGCAATTGAAGCCACTTCGAAGCCTTCTCTTTTCACTGTCTTGAGGCTGATAATTTGGATCGTGCCCCACAGCAGAAATCTTTAGTGCTTCAGGAAGAATGCAATTGCAAATTGAACCTGCCACAAGGAATCAATAACATGAATGATATTTGGTATGGGTCATGCCAGTCTTCGTCATCACATATGAGAGGATCACAGGATAGCAGATTGGATTTACTAGTCTTCCCTAATTCATGGAAGGGTAAGGATACTAATGTCAGTGGAAACTCTCAATCACTCAAATACTTATTTGAGTTTGGACATGTTTAGAAACACCCGAGTACTTATTAACACTAGTAAGAAAAGAAAATAAGAAGAAAATGGTAAAATAAGTTTGTGCGTTAAGTTAAAACTGAAATAAATTAACCCAAATAGACTCTTCGAGATAAACTCCAAATAACAACTTCTCACAATTTAAACTATCCATTAATTCTAAACCAATGCAACTATATAGATAAAAACCACTCACTAACTAAATAACAACATCTAACCATCTAGCTTGGGCCCAACCTCAATCTGCTAAATATCAGTTGCATGGGGGGGAAGAACTAGGATATCTCAAACAAGGGACTTTTTAGGGTTAGTTGTAAAACCTTGACTTCCTTCTATTCCTTTGTAAAAAAAGAAACTCCTATATAAAACAGAAGCTGCAAGAAAACCTTACATTCCCTCTCCTTTTCTCCATTTGCTCCATCCAAACACACAAAAGTCAACTTCCATCTGAATGAAATAAGTAGAGCAGAAAATACCTAGCTTGGCCAATCGATTTACCCATGTTGGAATCGATTTCCCGGTCAGCTTGTAACAGATGTCCTTGCAGAAATGGTTGCAATTCTTAACAATTAAGTGATATGTGTCACCATTGTAGCTTGCTGACTGGCGTTCCATGAACTCCCTAACCTGAGTAGAATCCAAAGATGTGGTTCCTATGAATATTGACTTCCTGAATTTGAAGCCAGGACATTGACGAGGTTCAACCTCAAAAACACCACTTGTTGGGTAGTCATGAGCTCCAAATGCATACTCTACACCATGAACTGTAAAGTACATGTAAAATTGATCAAGATAATATAAGTGTTTAGCTACATTTAAAGATAAGCCTACCCAAGCAGCAACTTACTGCAGAATTAGGGAACCATCCTTAAATGCAAATGAAACTCCATAATTTATATCCTGTATTCAGTTGCATATGATGGAAGAAAACTAATTACCCCATTTTAGTTTTTAGATGAGTCCAGATTGCACAGAAAATTTAAGGGCAATTGAAAACACGGACAGTTTGAAGTCAGTCTATTATAGGAATAAATATTGTGTATGGAAGTTACAAATTTGGGTTTTCATTTTCAGAGCATTTTCCAGCTTGCTCACTCGAAATTCCCTCACCTCACGTTATCAGTGTAAAGAATTTTAATGAGAAAAGATGCAAAACAATCAGACAATATGCATGCTGGCACTACTAGATCGGAGAAGAGTGATTAAGAACCATATATTTCCAATATGTTTATATTTCCTACTTAGCATGTTACATATATAACAAGTTCTATATTACATATGCAATAAAAATTACAACTTTTCATGTAAACAGATATTTTAGAAATAACTTGAACAATCTTCTACGAGTAACAGCAAATACATTATCACACAAAGAAAAATGCTAGCTGCATATTCTTTATTAATAACTGAAATTCATTAGGACTACTGAAATTATGAGCAAGGTTCGTAAAATAGGGAGTAAGATCCATGTTATTCTGTAAGTCAACAAAATTCATCTCAATAAAAAAATGTGTTAAGAGTGTTGGTAACATTCCTCTGCAAGAAATTATCACTGAATAGTAAGCAGTAGGCTCACCAAATCATCGATATTGCACACTCCAGAAAAATAACCTTCTATAGTCATTAAGTTATTTAGAGAGTGTATGACTTAGCAAAACTTGACATGGTTGAAATGGTGTATCATAACACAAAGATAAAAATTCAGGTCTAATCCCTCGCCTGACTCTCTTGTTATGCTGGAAATGTAATCATACTTAAATGGAAGTGTCTTATATCCCTCAAGCACAACATATAGAAATAATACATTTGAGAGAAAAACCAGATTCCTACATTCATAATGTGCTGGGATTAAGAGATAAATAATCAAAATTCAACATCAAAGCTTTAAACTGCACCTTCTACACCAGAGTGATAGATACCAAGACCGGCCCAATACACATAACCATTCATGGGTGTCAAGTCATACACGTTCAGATAAACTGGTGTTTTTCCAGGTCCATAGCCAGCTGAATTGACTTTGCGAAATAAAGAAAAACGGGTTGACGATTTCCCTTTCAAATGAAGAGGTACAATAGATTTCCATCCTTTCTTAGACTTCAATTTCATCTTTCACTATAGGGAACAACAGCATAGTTCCTGAATCCAGCAAACATTTACAGCGTTTGGAGATACATTACATTAGGAAGGGAGGAAATAACGCCAAACACATAAAAGATGCTAACGCTACTACTTGTAGATTCCAGGTACATGAAAATTCACATCAAATGAACCTGTTAACTTGTGTCCAGACATGCTCTTTAAAACCTGCATCATTTGTTTATGTTCACAATTTATTAAGAACACATATCGGTGTGCTAAGGTGTAGCCATTCCTTTGTAGTCTGAAGAAAACCAATTCGTTTGTTCATAATTTAAAACCTAGTTTTATTGAAATAAATTAAAAAGCAGTAAATTCTTTTATGAGATGGTCCATGAAATCCAATTAAAGATACCTTCAGATTTTGATGAATCCACTACTTTTAAGAGGAGGCAAAGCACAAACATTTCCTATTGATAGTACATGTTGATTGCAGAACAACATTAGCATACAATTTAACTTCACCTATCAGTCGTAGGAGTCAATCAATATAACTTCTCTCTCTCGTTACTAAACTGGAAAAAGGCTTGTTGCATGTCAAACTAAAATTCAAACCTCGTTGTGAAATTATGGCAAAAAGAAAAATCCAACAAACTTATGTACGATATGATAACCTGAAATTACAAGGGCACTTTCAGTTCGAATCACTTTGCCCCCTCCCATGTTTTAGAAGATCTTACAAACACTTTCCAGAAGGAAAAGGCCAAAAAGATTCTTAATTTTCAATGCAAATATCCTCTTGGCCATGAACATTAGATGCAGAATTATAAATCAGGAGATTAGCGGAATGAGTAACAAAACACAACACCAAATACAGACTGAAAACTGTTGAAAGTATAATATAACCAAAAGAGGAAGGTTCCAACTTGCAATTTAAGCACAGGAAAGAAATGAAAGATGAAAGTTTGGCCTCACAGTTTCAGATCTAGCACAAGGAAGAGTATAACACAACAATGGCAGCATATAAAAAAATAAAAATAAAAAGGTTTTTGAACTTTGGTTGCGAGGTAAAGAAAAATAATGGTCCCAACTTGCTACTGCAGCGGAAGTAAGAGCAGTGGTCTCAAAAGCAAGAATCCAATAATATCATAACAAATTCCTCAGTGTTTAGAGAGAGAGAGAGAGAATGGAAAATAAGAACTTACAGCTGCAGATTGAAAGCGTGCCGCCATTAAGAGAGAGAGAGAGAGAGAGAGAATGACAAAAACGATGAAGTGAAGACCCTGATTGAGACTTGCAAAGTAGTGAAGTGAGGTCTGAACTAAAAATGTTTATAACGTTAGCATCTCCAAATCATTGTGAAAAGAAACGTGAAGCAGATAAGCAGATATGTGCATTCTCCTTCGGACATTTCCTTGTTAGTTAAATTAACGTTATTTCACTTCTCAATTAGTACTCAGCTCTTTCAATTTATTTACTAGGCTTAGCATATAATTGCGTTCATTATTCAAATAAAAAAACTTTATTACATAAAATTAAAGATAATATAATAATTTGAATAATAATATCTTGGTTAAATATTTTCTTTTCATTTCTTCAATTTTATTGCACTCTTATTTTTAATATTAATTTTACTGTCTTATTTGTTGATGACCGCACGGGAAAACTGCGAATCTCTCTCTTCTTTGTACGGAAAGAGGAAAAATTATTACTTTTACGAAATGTTGGTGCGGACACGAGAAGAAACTACGCACGCCATAGTGCCACGTAGGATTTGTCAATCAGTGTTCGTATCATTTTCAAAAATAGTTTTTTTAGTTCGTTTATGTGTATATGTAAATGTGTAAAAATTATGCGATAATGTTTAGCTTATGTGGAATTATTTTATTATTCAATTATAATTTATAAGGATTAATTTAATATTAAGTCATTAACTTTTTAGATTAAGAAAATGTTATAAGAGAAAGGATCTGAGAAAAAATGAATGAATTTGAGGAAAAATAGAAAGAGAACGTAGAATTATTTGAATCAAGTGAAAGATGAAAAAAAAGGTAAAAGAATGAGATAAAAGTTTGTATGTGGTTGGATTGATATGAATCATAAAAAATTATATTAATAGTAGAAACTTTGAAGATTATCAAATTGACCATTTGATGATATAAATATAATATAAAATAAAATAAAATCAATTGTTAGATAGTTATTCTCTTGGAGAAGAGTTACCAAATATACTTTCTCTTAATTTTATATATTTACAGTGTAAATTAATTTGTTTTCTTTTACTACTAAATTGTTATCCATTTACATTCATAGATGAAATTGGTAATTTATCTAGTGTATACTATATGGTACTTATTATTTCACAAATAATTACAAACTCTATGTTTCTATTATATTTTGGGTTTATTTCTTTATTTTTTTAGAATTTTTTTATAGTTATTTATTATTAATATGTTTAAGTAAACTTATTCCAAAAATAGAAGAAAAATATAATATTTCACTTCTAAAATCAACTTGAAATTGTTTCTTATAAAGAATAGATTCAAAAGAAGAAAGTAATTAATTTTAAAAATACAAAAAAATATTTTAAACTTACTTAAAAATAAATCATTTTTTAAACATCAGTATTTGAATAAACATGTTTATTGTTTTTTTTTTTAATTCTTTATTTCATATAGGTGGAATGTGTAAATGTATTGTTAAACATTGAATAATTTTAATTTAAAATCAATTGGTATTATATATATATATAAAAGTTATATTTGAAGAATTGATACTCTTTATATATTTAAATAAGAGTAGTGTATTAACATATAGTCGTTACCATTTATATATTTTATTGAAGATATTAATTTAAGTACGCGAGAACTTTTGAACTTTTTTTCTGACTTTCATATCAATCAGGTCAAACAAGTCCAATCTTTAATTTAATATATATTTATTTTTTTATTTCTTATAATTTACTTAATTAAATATTCTTAATCGTACATTAAATAAATATCTTAAGTTCAAGTTTAATAAAAACCAAACATAAAATTTTCTAAAATACAATTAAACGTCTTTTATCTATTTTTTTCTTTTTTAATTAAATGTCATTACTTCAGAATCATACCTTAGATTCCACGGGCATCATGACCCTTAACTCTTTTATCAAATTTTGAAAGGAGTGGCGTCCATGGTAATAAAAATGGACGACTTGAGTGCAGTTCATAAGAGTTACATTAATTATTTGGTGGCCATGGGAAGGTAGAGGAACGTTAACAAATAATATTTTTACAATTTATGTAACTGAAGAATGGTAAAGTTTGTAAGGAAAAAATAGTTCTTACTCTGATCTTGGAAGCATGGGTTTTGGAAGGTGGATGGCACGAGTCTGAGAGAGCACGTGGGTGATTGGGGACATGACATGAGTCAGAAGGAAACAGAGGTAGGACCTTCTGCTGCTGCAACCAACGACAATGGTTCCCAACTCAACTGAATCAAAGGAAGAAGAGCGAGTGTGTGTGTGAGTTTATAACCCTAATTTCACTCTTCACACACCACCGATTCACTTGTCCGGTTTGTTTCAATTCGAAGGAAATTTCAAGAGTACAAAAGGAAAAAGAAAAAAAAAAATAAAATAAAATAAAAGAGTGAAGAAATATAATTAAAAATATTATGAAAAATAAAAGTTCATTTAATTGATTATAAATAATTAAATAATAAATTTAAATATTTTATTGTAAATTTTAATTATAATAAATATAAATGTAAATTAAAATATAATTTAATATAAAATAATTATTTTTAAAAATAGACAAAAATTTATATAAAATAAAATTAATTTACATATAAATTATGAAAAAATTGTGCTATTTTATAAATATATTTAATTTTGTTATATAATTTATAAGTAAATTAAAATTATAAAAAATTGTTTAAAGAAAATACCGCATAATTATTTTTTTATATTAAAAATTTTATTTAAAAATCAATTGTGTTTTATATTTTATAATTTCACTACTTTCATTTCTCTTTTCTCAAATAGTTATCTAGATCCAATTAATTTAACATCTTTAAATATATGGATTATAAGTTCAAAATTCTTTCATTTATTAAGAAAGTCTAATTATCTTAAGTTTAATCTTTTCATTTTGTTCAATCATTTATTTGCCGACAATCTTTATGAACTTTGTTTTCTAATCTTCAACATCATATATAACATTATATTATATGAAGAAAATTATCATCAACATGGATTCCACTTTTGTTCCATATTATATCATTTAGATACTTGAGTTTTTTCTGAAACTAATATATATTAATTATATCAAGTGAATATTTTGGGATTGTCATCCTCAATTGACCTATCTAACTTTTTAGATAAATGAATCTTTTAGGATTTTCATCCTCAATTGGCCATCTTATCTTTTAGGTAAATAAATCTTTTGAGATTTTCATCCTCAATTTCCATATCTTGTCATTTCAAATACCCTACTGAAACCTCAATTATAATTAGAATATTGATAGTTGATACATATAACTTAGTCATTATATTTTGGGTTAATAAATAAATAGTATTTGATTGACTAAGCTTTGTAGATGAATTATTTTTTCTAATATTTAATTCACATTCTTTTATCAGTATCAACATGGTAACTAATATATTTTTTCAACAGTTTATTCCCCCGTAATGTTGAAAATTCTTTATTAATAATGAAATTCATATCCAACATATATTCTCATTCTTCTATGATAAACCATTGAAATTCACTTTAGGATGTAATTAGAACACTTTAAAAAATCCCTCCAATGGGAAATTTTTTTATTAACAACCCAAAATCAATTGTAAGATGAGAGTATCTAACACATTGATTTAATGTAAATTTGTACTATAATATGTACAATTGCATAACCTCTTATAGTGGTTGTAAGATTCAATTTCATGAGTAATAATTTTGCAATCAACTTTAAACATTTTAAATGATTTTATATACGAACATAATTATAAGATGTCCAATATCAATTTCAAGCACACACAATACTCATTA